GCTGGGCTTACGGGTGGCCCTAGATAAGACGGAGGCCCTGTTATTTCATGGGCCCCGTCGTGGTCCACCCCCTGGCGCCTCCATCGTGGTCAACTCGGTCCTCGTACCGGTTCGGGCCCAGATGAAATATCTGGGCCTGATCCTCGACGGGAGGTGGCTCTTCGACGAGCACTTCCGACAGCTTGCTCCAAAGCTGGTCGGCGCTGCGTCTGCCCTAGGGCGACTCTTGCCCAATATGGGTGGACCCAGCGTCGCGACAAGACGGCTGTACACGGGGGTTGTCCGGTCAATGGCGCTGTACGGTGCACCGGTGTGGGCGGCGGCTCTGACCGCCCAGAATAGGGTACGCCTCTGGCGCCCTCAGAGGGTAATGGCGGTCAGAGCCATACGCGGTTACCGCACCGTTTCGACGGAGGTGGCATGCGCGTTGGCCGGAACTCCCCCGTGGGATTTGGAGGCGGAAGTGCTCGCCGAAGTTTATCGGCGAGTGGCTGACTTCCGGGCGGAAGGCGGATTTCGCCCTCCGCCCGAGGATGTGCGCGAGTGGCGCGAAGCCGCTCGCCGAGCCACGATGGCTCGTTGGTCGTTCCGGCTGGAGACTCCACGCGCTGGCTTCGCCGCCGTGGAGGCTCTCCAGCCGGTCATCGCCGAGTGGGCAGGGCGGCAGCACGGGACCCTTTCCTTCCGACTGACGCAGGTGCTTTCCGGGCACGGTTGCTTCGGAAAGTACCTGCACACGGTCGCTAGGAGGGAACTGAGTCCCGCCTGCCACCACTGCGACTGCAGTGAGGACTCGGCCCAGCACACGCTGGCGGTCTGCCCCGCATGGGCGGCGCAGCGCCGGGCCCTCACTGCAGTCATCGGAGTGGATCTCTCGCTACCGGCCGTAGTACGCTCCATGGCCGGTAGCGACAGTTGTTTTACCGCGGTCGCAACCTTCTGCGAGGTAGTAATCTCGCGGAAGGAGGCGGCGGAGAGGGCCCGGGAGGACGACCTCCACTCGGACCCGATCCGCCGCCGGCGAACCGGGCGGCGGAGGCCCGCCTATCACCGCCTCATGCCGCCCTGAGTGTGGCCGCGGGTGGACGGGGTGGGTTTCCCCTCCACCCGCATTAGTTTGGCCAGCCGCGAGGGGGCGGCGTCCGCGTGTGCCGGACGTCGCCTAAAAAGAGAGGAACAATATCGAGACGGAGCCCGCACCAGGAGCGGGCTGGCGCTAGGAGGGGTCCGGATGTCTTAACAACAGCTGTTCCCGGATCCCTCCTGTTACAGGCGCAGAGTGGCACACCGTGTGGTTTTAGTCGGTCCGAGTCCGACACACCACCCCGCCGCAAACCCCGGAGGGGTGACGGTCCGAGGGGATTTCCACACGTTAAAAAAAAAAAAAAAAAAAGGGTTTGTTTCAAGTTTCATTCTCTTTGCAGTGCTGTTGTCCTGCGTAGTTTGCTCCCTAAGTCGTCTCTTACGATATAAAATATATGTGTACAGAAGTCTCATGGCATGGTACAGCATTTTATAGCGTGCAAATAATTATAAACTTTCCAAAATATAATTAAGGTGCATTCATTAAAATTTCCCGCGCAAATCCCATAAGATATGCGACACGTTAACAAACGAATAGAAATGTCTGTATTCTAGGGTGAGTCTTCATTTACAAGCGATTTTTATATCGATTCTTATGTTTGTACTAGCTGACCCGCGCAACTTCGTCTGCGTCTCTCAATAGTAATAAATTTTCTCCGTTTTTGAAACATTCTTCATTGGTGCTCCGCTCCTATTGGTCTTAGCGTGATGATATATAGCCTATAGCCTTCCTCGATAAGTGGGCTATCTAACACTGAAAGAATTTTTCAAATCGGACCAGTAGTTCCTGAGATTAGCGCGTTCAAACAAACAAACAAACAAACAAACAAACTCTTCAGCTTTATAATATTAGTATATATTTCGCGGTATTTGTTTGCGAATGACTGCACGGTTGGCGTAGTGGTTTAAGCGAAAACCTCGCCGCTTTCTACTGCGCTGATCATTGAAGGTTCGATCTATACATGAAACAACATTTTGTGTGATCCACAAATTGTTGTTCTGAGTTTGGGTGTTCTTTGTGTCTGTTTCGTGTATTTTTGTAAAGTCGCCTGCGACACAGGATATATTTCTAGTGTATAGGAGAAGAAACGGGTCACTCGATGCGAAGTGAATACTGCAGACCATTAACAACTGCCTCTCAAGAGTCAAGTTTGTAGTCTCTCTCATTGATTTCTCTCCCTGGAATCAGGGTGAGGAGGATTTTAGCTTCGGTAACCTCACTCTGTCCGTGTAGTGACGGATTAAGAATACGGAATGTCACTACCCCAATTCATCCCGTGGGTGTCGTAAGAGCCGACTAAGGGCGCAAAACAACGCAGGACACCAGCACTGCAAAAAGACGGAAAACTTGACACAAACCCTATACCAACCCGCCTGGCCAGCGTGGTATAGTAGGCCAAAACCTTCTTTTTAAGGAGAGGCCTATGTCCAGCAGTGGACTATTAAAGGCTGTTGATGTGATGATATGAACCTCAATCACTCGGTGAAAATTTAAGGCATCTGACACAAAACGCCATCTAGTTTCAAACTAAGCAGAGCTTATACCATGAAAGTTAGGGAGACTGATAGAATACTTTTCTTTTGTAAATACATACACACCCACCCACCGAAACAAATATTTGCAGATTAGACAAACATTTAGTCCGGCCCGGGAATCAAACCCGAGACCTCAACACAGGCAGCTGTCGCATACGCTACCACTGTACTACCACTCAGGGCAGTCAGTTATCATAATGCAATAGTTACAGAATAGCTTAAGACTGGTGTTATGTGAGGCCGTGGTACTCTGGTTGAGTCGGGCCATTTGCCAAAAAAAGTTGATTCGACTTCAAACAATACTAAAAAAGAGCACTAACATTAAATATTATTAGTATAGATGAACAGGGCAACTAAACTCACTGCTCCAATGAGACAGCGAGTTTTCGTAGTAAACAAAAATATCAACGATATATGCAATGTTTAAATTTTTATTGATTTTTCAAAAACCTCTCCACCGATTTTGGTAAAATTTAAATTGGACCACCAAAACAAAAAAAAAATACTTTCCAAATCGCTTCAGGCATCTTCGAGTAATCGGAACACATACATGTGGCGACTCCCACATATGAAGAAATAGAAACATACTACAGCGCCATCTAACGAAGACACACCGAACTACGGTGTAACTACTCTCTGAAGAATTCTCTTGCCGATTAGCATATATACAACTGCCCAACATGAACCGTTGGACCGCGGCCCGCCAGCCATGATTACCTCGCCTGGTCGGTGGATCCTCCCTTTGTGTTGGAGGGATGTGGCACCCGTTCCTCCACATACAAAAAAAAAAGATTCCGAGGAATTCAGAACCTCCTTCTTTTATAAGGTCGGTTAAAAAGTTCTATAAAAACGAATATTTCACATAAAATCGCCATCACTCGCACCCAACCCAATCAACAATTGCAAGAAAGGCGGCAAAACATTAACTCACTCAATATGTTACTTTGTTAGGTGCGATCTCCCTCTCTCGTTCGTTGTGTGAGTGGGACGGAGAGTGATTTACCCGAACGCCCGTCACATGTTCATAATAGCCGGTTAATGTAGGCTTTGTTAAGGGGCAGTGAGTAAGGGAATTGTTGATTTTAAGTTTAAAATTAAGACATAAGATTTCAAATCTATTTAATAATTATAGTAAATAAACTAGGCAGATTCTACACTATGGTCACCAGACTTTTTTTTTTCTTTTATTTAAAAAGACAACTCCCGCATTAGGAATAAATCCTGTGTAGCGTGGGACTTTACAAACATACATGAAACGGACACAAAGAACACCCAGACTCAGAACAACAATTTGTAGATCACACATAGTGTCGTCCCATGTGGGGTTTGAACCCACAACACTCAGCATAGAAGGAAGCGGTGCGGCGACCGCTTAAAGACATATATATCGATACCTCCCACGTAAGTTGTTGTATGCCACAAAAACAGCTTTTAGCATTTTTACTGAAAACTATGCTAATTTGCATTACTTAATGCATCAAAGTGAAAAAAATAACGAAAGCACGATTTTTCAAGGATTTGCCAGACGTATTTTGTTGTAACTTCCGAACGAGAACGGACTACAGTATTGTATAGACCTTTACAATGGATTACGCGGGGTGCGGGGCGACAAGGATCATGCGCTCGCGTATCGTATTGGTCACATACAATAGACCACGCCGGACTTTCGAACAGCCGCACGCATGTAGGAAGCGTCTAAGTTCTCTTATAATTCACGTACGCAATTGAATTACTTCAAATATATTACAATGAAACGTACAGGTATAATAACAAGAGGACGTAGACTATGCGATTTGGTCAATAATACGGATACACAAAATAGCATCTCCGAGATACCCATTGAAAATAATAAAGTTTCATTAGATGAAATACAACTAAACAGTTTTCGAGATTCAACCCACCGAAATATCACAGGTATGTTCCTTTTTGTATTATTTTTGTATTGTTTTTGTATTGTTTTATTAGCATTAATATAGTTAATGTCAATTTTTTGTGGTTATGTCAACTAAAAATGTTGTATAGATCACTTACAACAATATACGTCGGTGAGCGTTCACTAAAAATGTTGTATGTGATACTTATAACATTTTACGTTTACATTATAATATAAATATTTGTTGTATGTATTAAATACAACATTTTACTTTGAGAGTTGTTATTCAAAACTTTGTTGTATGGTGACATGCTATATTTTACGTTGTAACTACTTTTTTTGTTACTTAAATTTAATGATGTATGTCAAAAGTATTTTCCAAAATTGGGTCTTTTTGGTGGAATTTCCGAAGTTCCCACTACATTAGAACTTATGCGGGCTGCCATCAAATTAAAACGTTATTACTTTTTCAGAGTCTCCATTACCAATAAGTTTTAATGAATCGGAAATGAATGAGTTGGTAAATATCATAGATGGAGACATCTTTGATAATAACTTAGAAGTAGCAACAGATTCCGATACTGCAAATCTTGAGACACCGCATCCTTCCCCTTCTTGTAGTGTCAATCACTTGGACTACGACTGTGATAATGATTTCTGTCCATATTATATACAGAAGGAAAATTTATCAGCGTTCAATATTTCACCTCAACCCTCACCAGCATGTCTTTCTAGCTGTTCGACGTATACAACCATGAACAATAGTCCTCTGTCAGATATTTCGAATAATAGTCCTAGCACAAGCAGCTGCCGTCGTCTATCAAGGAAAGATAAAGGCAATGTTAGAAAAAGACATTTTAAAGAATGGATAGATAATAAAAGAAAGTGTTTACGTAATTTGGGAAAAGAATATATGTCCAGAAAGGGTAAAATACATGCAAGTAGAAAGATGGGCCCGCCACATCACTGCCGCAAGAAATGCTATGATAAACTAAGCGAAAAAGAAAGAAAGAAGATTTTTGAGAGTTTTTGGAGTTTAGGCGATCGAGAAAAACAATGGATGTTTGTGGCTAACTTGGTAAAGAAGCAAATTAAACGAAGAGTCTATACAGATACTGTTTCAAGACGTTAGTACACGTTAAAATACTCATTACCAGTAGGTCATGGTGAAGAAATTGATTATGAGGATGTCTGCAAAAAACATTTTTTAAGCACTTTGTCTGTCAGTGATCAGGTTATTTACAAGGCTTTAGATAAGATGGATATGACAACGGGAGTACTAATCTCAGATCAAAGAGGAAAACATTCAAACCACCCTGTAAAAATAACAGATTCTGTTATTAATAGTGTGTGTGATCACATCAAGAGCTTGCAGCCTGTTGAATCACATTATACGAGGCAAAGGTCAAACAAATTATATTTGGATGGAGATTTAAATTATCATAAATTATTTGAAATGTATAATGAATGGCTTCAGTGTAACACGTATGAGGAGAAAGCTGAAACTGAACGTCAATATCGAGATATTGCAAATGAAAATTTTAAGCTCAGTTTTCACGTACCTAAGAAAGATCAGTGCGATCAATGTCACATTTTCAGAAATATTAACAATCCTACTACTCAACAAATCACAGATCATGAAAATCATGTCACAAATAAAAAGTTATCTCGACAATTCATGAAGTCTGACAAAAACGAAAGCAAATCTTCGCAAGGTAAAATCGTCGCCGCTACTTTTGATTTCCAAAAGATTCTTAATGCACCTCATGGCCAATTAAGTATTTTATATTACAAGCGGAAGTTGTCGGTTTTTAATTTTACTTTGTTTGATCTAGCAAATAAAGAGGGTCATTGTTATATGTGGCATGAGGGAGAAGCTAAACGTGGTTCTAATGAGGTATCAAGCTGTCTTTCTCATTTTATACAGAAAATGCATGAACAGGGTGCAGAAGAATTCAGATTCTGGTCAGACAATTGTGCCGGTCAGAACCGCAATCGCATTGTGTTTGCGTTTTATGTGTATATTGCTCATAAACTTAACATTACTATAAAACATACCTTCCTCGAAAAAGGTCATACCCAAGCCGAGGGTGACAGTGTTCACGCTTTAATAGAACGTTCGTCTAAAACTAAGCTTATATATACACCTTTAGAATGGTTTAGCTTAGTTAGATGGGCTAAACAGGATGGAAAACCATATAACGTCATAGAAATGAAGCACACGGACTTTTTTAATTATAAAAAGCTTTTGGACGGGCGTAATTGGTCAAAAAATATAAGTGGAGATGTAGTTAAATGGAATAAAATAAAAGAAGTGCGGGTATGTGCAGAAGATCCTTTTAAGATTGAATATCGGTACGATTTGGCAAACAAGAATGCTATGACTATTGCCATTAATATGAATACCCGTAGTCGACAAAGAATTAACAGTATTGCTGAGCTATGCCCTCTCTATTCCAACCATCTACCCTTAACAAAGGCAAAATATGATGACTTAATGAGTCTCTGTCACAGTGGAATTATTCCAGCCACATATCACTACTTTTTCAGGAGTTTATCTTTTGTTGCTGGTTTTCATAATGATGTTGAATTTTCTGGCTCAGAATAGTACATAAATTAGTCTTAAGTCAAAAATAAGTCTATTTAATTGAAAGAAACTCAACTTTTTTTATTATAATAGTAAAAATTCATTTTTTTTCAATTGAAAATAATGATAGTTAAACGGCCAATAATTATAAATGGTAACCAGATTTTGAGTTGTCTTGATTATAAGTTGATCTCCTAGAAATTATTTAGTGAGTAATATTTTTTATTAAATATGTTAAATGTTAAATATATAAAATAAAATATGTTGATTTTTTTATGATTTTATTGTAACAATCTTGTGAAGAATTTGTTTTGTTGTTGTTAATCCTATGAATGTTGAATTAGACAGTGATTTATGTTTGGATTTTTGTCTGTTTATTATATATTTTTATTGTTTCTAAATAACCTTACTAAGATTTATTTGTTCTCGATTTTTTTGATTAGGTCCCTGCTATTGGAAAATTATCTGTTTTAATAAGAATAAAATAATGTTTATGTTGGAATGTCTTTTTTATTTCTTAACCTAGAATTTGTTCAAATACAACAATACACACCTAAATTTGTAACTTATGTTAATTGTTATTACCACATACAGTGGAATGAGACTTAAATTTTTCAGTGTATATTGTTGTAATTATTATTTACAACAACTGACGAAACTAAACTTCGCGGTATAGAGTTGTAAGTATGAAATACGACTACTGGCGCAGCCTGTACTCCGAAGTAAAATATTGTATGAACAATATCTCAGAAAATATACAAATTTAAAAAAAATAACTGTTAACATAGTCAAGAATACTATAAATTATATTCGTATACCAAATTTTACAAAAATATAATAATAAATGCAGTTTTTAATCCAATTTGTATCTTTAAACTGCTCTATTGTAAAATTGCAGTTTTGGGGATACAACAACTTACGTGGGAGGTATCGATATGTGTCTGGGTGTAATTTATCTATAATATGTATGTATTTAGAAATATATAAGTATGTTTATCAGCGGTCTGGTTACCATAGTACAGGCTCTGCCTAGTTTGGGATCAGACGAGTGTAGTAGTCAGCGGCGTGGCGACCGCTTAAACCACTATGCCATCCTGCTGCATACGCAGACTGCTTCGCCCCGGCTTCGTGCAACGACGGCCGCTCTCCCCCGCATTTTAAATCTCTGATATCTACCTAGATGTTCAATTTAATTATATATGGATAAGGAATAATTCCATATTGTTCACAATAGCTTCGTAAATAGGCTAGTTGACTCAATTTGAAAACTTGGTTAATTATATACTTTAATATCTATTTTATCTCAAAAACCTAGATTTTAAAGAAAAAACAATATTTACATTACGTTTTTGTATTTAAAAAAAAACAATTTAAATTTCCCTCTTGAATGACGTCACAGTCTGCGAAACAAAACTGTTTACATCTGTGTCCAGTGTCAACTGAAACTGTATTTAAGTGAGAAAATATGCTAAAAAGAATAAGGAGTAACCTGCTCTGTTGTATGAAAACGTCAATGTCAATGTTTTGCGTGGCGTGACGTAACACTTTATAATTAGTGTTCGCTGTCACGTGACTTAATGCCTATTTTGTTCGTTTTTATTTTAATATTAATAATCTTTAACTTTTATGAGAAATAGGCTGGTTTCTTCTTATCTATGTCTCTTCATTTATAATTTGAAACTATAAACCAAGCAATTTGTTATTAGTGGACACAAGCCTATTTCCCATTATTTTATAATATGTAAAAGATAGACAATTCCGTAGTACATTATTTCGATCTATCTTGTAAGGTTTAGCCGGCGCTAGCAATTGTACTGTATTCTTCTTCTGGCTAGTTCTGGATCAGACATCCGTGTGTGAGATGCATCAAGTTGTTTTAATTAAGTTTTTGTTCCACACATTTTGTGTGCAACGGCCCCTTAACAAAATCCACACACGCTTACTTAATAAGTTAATAACAGAACATGTTTGAATAAGTTTTAACTTGCCAAGTTTTGGGTCAGCGCGCGATCGCACCCACTCGTTAATATTATTGCGTATCGACATGCAATACGTTTTAGAATTTTATTGATTCTTATATCGTACGAATAGGTTTATAATCTACACTTGATATTATAAAACTGAAGAGTATGTTTGTTTGGTTGAACGCGCTAATCTCAGGAACTACCGGCGCGAATCGGATTTTTCTTTGGATAGCCCATTTATCAAGGAAGGCTATTGGCTACGAGTATATAGCATCACGCTACGAGCAAAAGTTTAGCTGGCAGAGAATGCCCAGGGTATTAAGTTCGCCGATGTACACAAGCGCATAAAGATGTAATTCTTTTTTTTTGTAAAAACGGTCCAATTTATTTTTTCCTTTTAGAAACGCAGACGAAATTACTGTAAAAAATAAAAAAGCCGTGTGGTGTCGTGGGACACCCGATAGGAACGAAGTTGTGACAATCGAGTAAAACTGATTCAACACGATTTTAATTACAACGCCATCTATGAAAGCGGCTATTACCTACATATTTTTCAGTTGGTTTCTAATTAAAACAATTTATACATTTATAGATGGCGCTGAATGACTGACAAGTGACAATTCAAAATAAAAAGTGTCGTTACAACTTTTCGTGAGATTTTTTTCCGTCTAGACGGTTTCACAACGCGCGATAAGGAACTTCGTTCCAATTAGGCAATGCAGATCACAGTTTATTACAAGTCATCATTACGAACGCGCATTGAAAGTAGTATTCCTTTGTGAAAGTTTATTATTTAGCTCAGATTTTACAATTTAAAACTAACACTGCAAAACGTTATTGTACACCTATTTTATATACATATTTATATATCATACAACAAAGCAGTAGTCCGTCTGTCTGTCCGCAACAATGGACTCCCTCAGGCGTCGGGAGATTAAAAAAAAATCTTGTTGTTAAGTCTGATGAGAAAAATTCTAGACTTAAATCTAGGTACAATTTGAGGGCTGGTGTGATGATTTTGAATAAGGGACGTTGAGGATGATGTCTTATCCACATATAAAAATTCAGTAAATGTTATTTATTTATAAAACTAGCTTTCATCCATTGTTTTAAATATGTTGGTGGTTGGTTATGGTCTGTTATTAAATTTACCGAAATAATATAGAAGTCTGTGGGCTATTCCAGACTAGAATAATATACTCTATCTTAGCTCAGACCAAATAAAAAAAGTTAAGATGGAGCTTTGCAAAGAACAAAGTAAAGTTTTATAAATATGAGTGCGTGGGCGGCAGTTGCCATAATAATTTTATTATATAAAAATAATGGTTTCTACCGGATCTGCAAGCTGAAGTGGCAGTGGGCCAGTGGCCATATTAGCCGTAGAACCGACAATCGTTGGGGAAAACAAGTTCTTGAGTGGAGACCGCGTCTCGGCAAACGTAGTGTAGAACGCCCATAGGAGTGGAGTGACGATTCGCGCAAGACAGCTTGGCAGGAGCTGGATGCGAGAAGCCCAAAATCGATCTAAGTTGCGTGAAATGGGAGAGGCCTATGTCTATGATGATGATGGGTTTCTACGCT